TCTTCTAAGTACTCAACCCAATTCCCCATGAGTGACGAATGACAAGGTTTTCACTCTGAGTGGGGGGAAGAGGCAGGATTCCTGGCCTGTGTGAGAGCTCGGCAGTGCAGCCCCGAATTCCTTCGGATGGTCCCTCCCCCACTCTCAGGTAGCTTCCCTGCAGGAAGGAGCTCGTTGGTACTCTGCTGAGCACACAGGGAACTTTCTGCAGGTTGCAGTGGGTGAATCTCTATGCAGCTCTCCCCTCTTCAGTACACCCTCCTGTGAATGCTTTGCCTGTCTGATCTCTCTGGACTCTCTGCTCCATCAACTCAACTCAGGAAGTCCGCAGGGCCCTACCTGGGTCACCCGAGCCCCTGCATCACGGCTTGAAAACTCTCTCCAGGCAGTAAGTGCTGACAATGTACTGTTCTCCTCATTCGCTTCCATCTGTATAGGGTTACTGTCCTTTGCATCCTGGTGTCCAGTGTCCATTTATTTTTTTCAGTTGTTTCAGGCAGGTGAGTAAATCTGGTCCCTGTTACTCCACCTTAGCCCCTAAAGAGCATTTGTAATGTCTATGTTTACACTCATATCGGGGCACCAATATTATTACTATAACTACTACAAACGTGGTTGGCTTTAACTTCCTGTACTTCCAAATTGTATTTTTTTTTGTTTGGAGTACATGTTTAATACATGTTTGCCAAACCTTAACAGGCTATAACTTCTTCCACTGTTGCTTTTATAAACTGTTGAGGGTTTAAAGGTGCTCAATAGAATGTTATAGTAATATGAACTTATAAGTTCTTTTCAGGAAATTCAGCGTGTACCATAAATTAACAATGTCAATTTAACAAAAAGGAAAAAGCAAAGACGAGCATGGACCCAGGAGTCTGGGAGACTTGGGCCTTTTATTGCAACCAAGAGCCCATTTGGGTGCATTCATTTCTGGAAGCTAGCCCCATGGACTGGGGGGGAGCAGTTAGGGCTGTGACTGTTTTCGCTCCCCCTGGGGACAGTCTTTACATGGCAGAAACTGATCATCAACAGAAGGCTTTGCACAGGAATCTTCAGACTCACTTCAGCCGCTGGGGCTCCACTGGTATCAGCTCTGTGCCCCAGAGGGGCCTCCGTGTGCAGACGGTTGTCAGGCAGCCCACAGAGCCGCCGGGGAGCTGGGAAAGCGGGCCAACCCACCAGCCAACCTCCACTCTGCTCCCTCGGCAGGAGGTGCAGAGGGCAGGCCTGCTCGGAGCCAGCTGGCCGCCTCCCGCAGGCAAGCCCAGCAAGGCAGGCCGAACTTTCTCGTTTCCATTCTCTGTGGCTGCACACTCCTCAGTGTGGCTTCTGGTGGAAGCAAACACAGCTGGCACAAACAAACAGCCCCTCGACCCTGTTCTTGACATGCTGCCGCCGCCAAAATTCAGTTCGGAGGAATAAAGGCAAACATAAACCTCAGCTCCTGCCGGGGAAGTTGTTTAAGCTAAAAGAAACCGGAGGGAATGAGCAGCTCAACTGCTCTAATTTATTCACACATTTCTGCTGTCACACTGCAGGCAAGCTCCCCCCTGGAAAAAAGGGAAAGCTCTTCAAGACACCTGTCAACTCATTTCTGAAAAGTCAGCTTCCGCCACTGGGGATTCTAAAAAAGTGGCAGTGGGGGGCTGTGGTCAGGAGCACTGGGCTTGGCCACCTCTTCTGCTGTAACCTGGATGCTGGCTGGGTGGGAGGGCTGGTAACAGAGGGGCCCGTGGTGTGCTTGGGCTCACCTCCCATCCGCCCAGAGCAGGCGTTCCTTGCCTTATCCATGTCCTGGACCCCTCCGCCAGGCTGGTAAAATATATGGGTGCTTCTGAGAACAGTGCTTATAATTCATAAAATAAAACAGACAAGATTATAAAGGAAACCAATTAGACTGAAATATAGTTATGGAAATAATAAAAAATTTATAATGCAGTAATAAATGTGCTTCTTCAGGAACACATTAAGCCACAAGATCTAGCGGCAGTTCTAAAAACTACTTTCATTTCAAAGGAGTGACGGGTGTCCAGGACATTGAGATACCTGTAAAATGATGGGAGGTATATGATCTCTTTTGGTGACTGCATCACAGGTGCTCTGTCACCTACTGTCAGCACTGTGGGGACCACCAAATTCAGTTAGAGGTTAAGATAAAAAAAGCAATGCTTCTCTCCTCCAAGTTTATAAACTCTCCTCCAAGTTTATAAACCCTCCTGAGTTTTTCCTGTGGACCGCAGGACTCCTAGGTTGAGAAGACCTTTCCTTTCCTCGGCTGCACATCTACTCAAGGAAGGAGCACCGCCCTGGGAGCGAGGGGGCCAGGCCCCAGTCCTGGCTCCACTTCTGACCAGCTGAAGACGCTCCTTGGAAATTCGAAAGCTGAAGGCGCGCACCGACTTGCCCGAGGCCCTTCCCCAGGCAGTTCCCTGCCTGCAGTGGCTTCCCGCCAACGCTGGGGGGCGGTGTCCTGAGGATGCCACCCCAGCGTGCTCTGCTTACCACCGGGACCGGTCTCGCTGAGGCCTCCTCACGCCTCTGTCCCACCCCTTGCACGAAGCAGTCATTACAGTTCATTTACCACTGTGTTCTTGGTGTCTAGCCTATGGCTTGGCCCGTGAAAGACCATTATTTATATACAGGGTGGGGCAAACGTAGCTTTACAGTTGTGAGTACATGAAACACAGAGTTATTCTTGTACTATTACTTACTAATACTGTATGATTTTCCACAGGAATAACTGCGAACACACGTTTGCCCCGCCCTGTGTTTAGTGAAGGGACAGATGGACGGGTCAGAGCTGTGACCACACTCAGCTTCTCTCTCCCTGTAAAAGTTTTCCTGTGTCATAGCAGCAGATCTCAACCCTGGTCACACGGGAGAATCGCTTTTAAGAATTTTAGAAAATACCGAGACCCCAGCCTTGTCCCCAGAGATTGAGAGTCCAGGGGCTCGGGGTGGTGTCCTGGCCTCTGTAGGCTTTTAAAAGCACCCCAGGCACGGCCCGTGTTGAGAGCCCACTGAGCCACAGAACAGCTAAGGGGAGGGCGCACAGGTCCCAGAGGAGCCTCTCTCCCGGACCCAGAGAGGTGACACGGGTGCAGAACGCTGAACTCTGAGAGGGGCTAAACGCATTAACTGAGTTTCTGACCCTCAGGTCAGGTCACAGTTCTTAATCCAGAAACATCGGTAATACCTCAACTACACTCTCAGACTTAGAGGAAAAAATTCTCAGGCCTGACGGCGAAGACCAGGGAGCAAACTGTAAACCCCACAGGCAAGCACAGAGGCCCCCCTGCTCCCTCCCCTCCCTGCAGGAAATCCTCACGCACGCACCAGTCCTAGGCAGGCAGTGCACCCCGCAGCTATGTGGTTTCCTCACCTACCAAGTGGAGGTGATAACAGTACTGCGACTCAAAGAGCTGTTGCAGGAACCGACAGATGCAATGGGACTGAAAGCATTTTGGGAATAGTCAGACACACTACTAAGATTAATTCTTGATTACTGCGTTCTACCAGTTGAACTCTTATAGGTGGAGAGGCGTTGTGTGGTTCAGTGGTTATAGTCCCTGGAGTCATAAGTTCTGCGTGCAAATTCTGGTGCCACCCCTTACTAGCTGTGTCATTTTGTGCAAGTAACTAGTGCTTCTTCCCCATCTGTAAATAAAACAGTGACAATACAGGTACCTCCCTCACTGAGTTTTTGGAAAGTTTGGCTGAGCGCATGCACTGAATGTTTCCAGAACATAAAACTTAAGTAGGCATCAGAATCATCTGGAGGGAGGGCTTGTTAAAACACAGAGCACTGTGCCCCGTCCCAGAGTTTTAGGCTCAGAAGATGTGGACTGGGATCTGAGCATCTGCACGCTAACAAGCTCCTAGGTGACGTTGGTGTGCCTGGTTTGGGAGCCTCGCTTTGAGAACCACTGGCTTAGAATAATGCCTGGCATGCAGGAAGCACCTAATAAATGCTAGCCGTTATCTTTTCCTGGGCTCTATACTTTTTAGCACCTTAACAGAACACTTCATGCTCCAGAGCTGCTCTGCGCTGTCTTTGGGTACAGACACTTCGAAATCCACCTGCTGTGGCTCCCAAAGTGTGGACGAAGACAAGCTGCACGAGCACCCGTGGATGCTCATTTCTGATGCCAGCTCTTCAGTTTCAACCCAGATCTACTGAATCGGGAGTTACGGGGGTGAAGCTCAACACCCTGTTCCAACAGCTGATGATTCTAATGCACATCAGCCTTAAGGACAACGGCTCAACTGGAAAAATCACTGTGACCACCACAGCAACCCCGCTGAACATGTCCAGGAGGCAGGATGGCTTCAGGTCCAGTGTAAAGCTTTGGGATGAACTGGAGCCTAATACCTGGCTCAGATCTGTATTCACTCTATGTGACTTATGACTTTAACCCTCAGTTTCCTCATCTGTAAAACGGGCATCATTTAGGACCCACCCACCTGAGATGATGCAAATGCCCACCACAAGCTACCTACTCAAAGGATGCTAGCTGTCACAGTTATCATTAATCATTACAATATGTCCTCTCTCAAATGATTTGAGATAGCTCATAACAAAGACATGAATACTCAGGTACACAGGACAGCTAACATAAAGATTAAAAAAAATAGAAACATCACACACAGAAAGTGGAGGGAGTGAGAGTTGAAAGTGCCACTGCAATTGTCTTCTAAACTGAAGTGTGAACTTCCCAGGGTGGGGGTGCAGAGCAAAAAGGAAATGGAGGGAGTTCATGTCCCCACTGTCTGAACAGAGAAAGGTGACTGGCTCTTTCGGGGAGGCATCTTCGTCCCTTTGACACGCCAGCTCTACACTCTAGAAGCATGTGCTTGCACAATCCTTTGCACAAAGGCCCCGTGTAACAGCCGGGCCTCTCCTCCAGCAGCGCTTCATGTACCTGTTTCTTTAATTAAGTCTCAACAAGGGCCAAGGGCAAAATCCTCACATCCCAGAGGATGAGCAACGTTACACTTACTTTGGGTGCCGAATATCAGGGAGAGAGCGATTCAGGGAGATTTTATCACTGACGTAGATGTTAAATCCATTTTCTCGGTACGCCTGATCCACTCTCTCAGCATCGGTCATGGGGTAAGGTCTCCCTTGTTCTCCATTTCCTAGGGGCAAAGAGCAAAGTCAATGCTGCTAACTGAATGGAGTGGGGGAAGAAGGATGAAAAGTATGATCAACCACAGAGACAGAATTTCAGGCTTGATACAAAGTGTACGTCCAGATTTTATAGGGGAAGTGTACAGAGGGGAGGGGGAATGAGCATTCAGTCACAGCCGAGTCACACACTTCATAAACCTTGTCCTCACGTAACCGCCACAGCAAGCATGCGGGGTGGACCTGAGAGCCTTCGACTTGCAGCAGGACGAATGGGACTAAGAAAGGTTATAAAACTAGGTCTGCGGATTCCAAAGCCCGTGATCCCTCCACTCTGCCAGGAGCCCTAAACACTTCTGCCTGGGAGACCAGGTCTATCACACACGAGCTGATCAACCCTGGGCAGGTCACATCGCCTCTCTGAGCTACGGCTGCTCCCTTCTGGTACCCACAGAATGCTGAGAGAGTCAAGTGAGATGCTGTGTAGATGAAAGCTGTCTGTAACTATATAAAGGTAATATAAAGGAAATAATATGATTACTCTCAAAGCAGAGTAAACTTTATACATGAATCGAAATTGCCACTAATGATAGAAGATGCTTTGACTTTTTTAAACCAGTAAATGAATTAAGATCTGCTTGCCCCCAGCCAAGGCTGCTTGAAAAGTGCTGCCTGGAGCCCCAGAGTTGGTTGGATAAAGTGCTGTTCTTTCTTTCCTCTGCATAATCTGGCTGGGGAAAGAGTTCCTGATGCACCAGGAAATTGTCCCCTGGGTTCCCAGGGTGCAGACGGTGAGTGTGAATGTCCACACCAAGCCCAGCAATAACAACCCAGGACTCTACCACTGGTGAGGGACCTGAAGAAACAGCAATAGAATCATTGGTCAGGAATCACCTCATCTTCTGGAGCCTGTGGTGTGAGCATCAGACCGCCTCATTCAGTTTGTAAAGTAAACTGTGACAACAGCAGCTTGATGGGAAGGTGCAAGCTGAGAGGTACAGTCTGAGACCAGGACGGATTCCACAAGGGACAAAAACGCAGCAAGAGCACCCCGCTCAGGGTGGGGGGCCTCAGGAAGGTGGTGCAGGGAGCCCGGGACTGGGTCCTGGAGCCAGGCAGAGTGGGATCTGCAGTCCAGCCCTGCTACTCCGTAGCTCGGTCATCTTGGGCATGCCTGTGGTCTGTCTCTGTCTTGGTTCTTGCCCTTGCATTAACTGGGATAAGGAGATTCAGTGGGATAATTCAGGAGGTAATGCAGGGCAAGGTGCCTGGTACATAGTCAGCCCTGATCATTATTATTCTGAATGATTTCTGCTCTGCTTACCCTTTTCTTGCTGGTTAAGCCAATGTTCTAATAATCCTGGCATAATGGTCTGGCAAATCAGCTCTTTTCAAATGTTTCCTTTTTTAATTTAAGCACCCCAACCCTTCATTTTAAATTACTGGCATACAGAAAAATACATGTCAGGTCTTCAGATTTCCCTGAACCTCAGTTAAGTTATCATTTCAGCTCAATTCAAAGACTTGTTGTAATCTCATTTTGTCATAATGTAATTAAAAAAAAATCAATAGTGGGTGCCTTTACTGAGATAAAAATGAATAAAATACTAATCCCTTGTATTTCTACAATGCTTTCCAGTGTAAAGCTACTTCGTATTAACACACTGAGGTTTGCAAATCAGGAAGCATGAGCCCCACTGACAGATGGGAAAACTGAGGCTCAAGGATTATAAGACTTAGGTGGTGGTCACATAGCGGATAAGAAGTGTTAGGGCTGTGGTCCTGAACTCCTAGTCCAGGCTCTCTACAAATGACTCCCCACAGAATTTCCCTTCCCAATTCCCCAGTGTAATAGAAACTGCTCCACAGACTAATTAGCCAAAGAAAACGTTAGCTGCAGCCCATTCACATTCACCCTCGTGACTGTGGTGCTGGGTGCAGATCCACTCTGCCCTCCAGACCTGGGTTCAGATTCCAAGCCTCTCTCTTTCTCACTGTGGCTGTGGGCAGATGAGCCCGCCCATCTGAACGACAGGCCCCATCTCACCACATGGGCCACAGAGATTGATTCTGGGGTTCGCCGTGAAAACGTGCAGTGCGCAGGTGGGCACTGCTCACCGTAGAGTATTCGTGGATGTTGGCCCCCATCTTACTGCTTCTCGTTTCAGTGGTAAAATATTTCCTAAGGGGAGACATCTTCTATCGCCCATTAAAGGAGGCAGGGCAAACTCCTGAAGGCAGTGATGTGAGTGGAGAAAGGACGGGGTCAGTGAACAGGTAAAGCGGGGATTCCGGCATCAGAAGGCATGGTGGCAGGCGGAGACGAGCCAGCGGAAGGAGGTCCGGACGCCCCGCTAAATGCACACACATGCACACACACATACATGAGCCCTCCCCACAGGACCTGCCTGTGGACGTACCTACACGCTGAGCATCCCTTCTGATGGCTTCTTTGTCATGCCAGTCCTTCAGCTTCTGCCCATCGCCCACAAAAAATATCTTCTTTTGCTGATTATGTGATCCCTTAAAAAAGAGAAGACAAAAACTGTGAAAAAAAAGAGAAAATAAGTTTAATAACAGAGACCCAGAAATGACGCTGCCTAAGGGAGGTTTCGGCATTGACTGAATGTCTGTCACGCGTTCACTTGTTAGTTCCCTTGACGGAACTCTGTTAGCGCCTGCCATGTGCCCCCCAGGTATGCAAAGATCAGGGAGATGACAGGCACACACTGTCCACCCTCTCGGAACTCAAAGACCAGCAGAAGAAAATTAAAAAACAACAGAAGGATAAACATTCTTTTCACTCGAGAGAAAAAGCAGGAGTGTGTGCTGCCCAGCAGAAATATAAGAAGGCGAGCCACAGATGTGAGCCACATCGGGGACTTCCAGTGTCCCAGTGTTCACACTGGGAAGAAAAAGGGATGGGTGAAGTTAGTTTTGCTAACATATTGTGTTTAACCCAATATACTCTATGTAAAATATTTCACCACGCAATATAAAAACTCATTAACCTACTTCACTTTTTTTTTTTTGTACTAAGTCTTCAAAATCCAGTGTGTATTTTATACTTGTGTTCATTTTGATCCAGAGTCCCTTCGGGTGCTCAACAGCCACAGGATGGGGCAGGTAAGTGACCCTCAGAAATTGCCACAGGAGTTCATTTCCACCTGGGAGAATGGGAGAGAGTTTCGTGGACAGGAAGGCAATTGGGACGAGCTTCAGAGGAGCAGATGTGAGAGGCAGGCAGGACAAATGGCCTGGGCACAGACTTCAGGTCCGATCCAGTGGCAGAACTGGGCTTATAGTCTTGGCCATCTCTCCAGTTCCCAAGGGCGCCAGTCTCCAAAAGGGTGGACATTTGGCAATTGTGTGTGGAATGTATGAACAAGCAATTGGATGGCTGGGGGGCTGGGGAGGACTATACAACAGCCCCAAGAGAGCAGCCCCCAGGGCCTGGCTCTGAAGGTGTTCATTGCATATCTGGGGAGGTGAGCCAATTAGGAACCAGTTTCCCTAATAAATGAGGCCGCATTCCAGCATATGGGGTTGTCCGAAGGTACCAGATGCTCTCCCACACCCACAGTCAACCTGAAGACTCAGTCGGAACCTCCCGCGGTAACACTGTTCAGGCATCTCCCATGTTGCTCCGGGTGAGAATGGCTTTGCACATCACCTTGCCCACTAAAGAGCCCTCAGACCTGTTCTTGCCACTGTGGCATGCAGAACCCAACGGCCCTATTTCCTATGTAATTAACTACAAAGACCTTGAACGTGTGACGTGCTGGAACATCAGCAAGAGAAAGAAACCACCTGGATAAAATCATCCACACGTCTATTTGTTAAGTCTCTGGCTGATTCTCAAGTTCACAGACTTTCCACAGCAACGCAGTGTCCTTATGACAGCTCTAGTGACAATAACAGCCTCTGTGGTTCCTCTCCGAGTGGCAAGAAGGAAACTCTGAAAGTGGGTGTGCTGGGTGCCTTGATCAGAGAGGGAAAGACAACTGTGAAGACAAAGGCCACGTGCCGCTAACAGTTCCCAGTGTTCCCAGAAATCAGGCTGAGCTAGCAGCGCCTTCTTCGGTGGAGTCCAACTGGGTTGAGCTACATTCCTACAGGAGGCTCCACAGCGCTGCCTGGGGAAGGCGGGGGCTCAGAGTCGGGGCTGGCACCGCATCTGTTTTCTGCACTAGGGTTCTGGGTGGGATTTCATTTTGAAAAGGTCCTCTGCTAAAAGCAAAATGACAATCAAATCTCTAAACAAGTGAACAAATGATTGTGAATGTGCTGGGAAACAGAGCTAGGACCCTTTCCCTGTTTCACAGTCAGGGAGACTGAGCCTCGTGGTGGATCAGGGACCTGCCCACATAAACACGTCTCTATGTCGGTATCGACTAATCACGAGCTGTTCAGTGATCTTTTCTCCAGCCATCCCTCCTCAGGCCTTTTCCCTTTTCTGCTACCCAAAGACTCTGAGCTTCAGTCACTGTGAGTCACTGGTGGAACTAAAGAGGCTGTGCAAACAGAGACTGCCTTGGCAGAAGGTGCCGATCTGAAGTGGTTCGCAAAGCGTGGTCCCTAAAAGAGCAGCACCTGCACCCCCTGCGGGTACAGGTGGGACAACACAGACCCCGTGTAGGTGCTAATGGAGGTTACAGCCAGATCAGTTTCTCTTAAAGGGCGGCTCTGGAGAGACCTGGGCCCCACAGTGAACCAATTAAGTCAAAGTATCTGGAGACAGGAGGCCAGAATGATGTGTTTTAAAACCTATTCCCCATATGATTCTGATTCACAATAAAGGTAGAAAAACACTTGTCTAAATCAGCTGCCACATTTTACAGATATGAAATCTGAGACTAACAGAGTAGAACAGACTTGCCCTAAGTCCCACCTTGTCAGTCTGCAGAGCCAAACCACCTCTAGCTGTTCTCTCCCTGCAACAGACCGTGAGCTTCCTGAGGCAGAGGCGTGTCTGTTTTGGTCCGTCACTGTGCTCTCCTAGGCCAATGCCTGGCTCACCTGAGGCTCTCAGCAAGTATCAGTGGAATGGGCGAAAGAATGAACGAGTGCTCATCCATGGGACAGGTAGTCTAGTTTAATGACTCAGGAAATTCTGCTTCCAGAGTTGGAAAAACCTGGGTTTCACTCCCTGGGCAGGTGGACCCCAGGCTCCTTGACTGATAATCAGGGAAAACTAACAGAATAACCTGCTATTCTATTGTTGGCAGGATGAACTGAACTGATCTACACTAAGCACCTAGCTTCATGTCTGGCACGAGGTTGGGCCCTCTCAGTAAAGGAGTGCTAATACTAATAAATTATTTTTAGAGGTTACAATATGATGTTTGCAATGGCCATATTAGGGGCAATAGGAAATGGATGGGAATCTTCTAATAAAACTGTGAGACCTGCAGAGGCAACCTATTAACACCTGAGCCAATTCAACTGGCTATTGCTGAAAACAGAATTTAGAGAGTTTCCTCATTAACAGGAGGTCATATGCCCATGTAGAAACCCAGTGCTCTTCAGGGGGAAAATGTTCTTAATGAATAGTGGCATTCTATAATAGAAACAAATGCCACAAGACCTTTAACAACAAGAAGCACTCAAAAAATGCTTCTCAAAAGACAGCAACTCTTGTGCAATAGCAGTCACTTAATACTGTGCAAAAATGCACATCCGGAAGTTTAGTCCAGAGGTAATTTTAAGTTTCTTTAATTTCACAAACTCAAATATTTGTCTGTAAAAGCAGTGCTTATTTTCCATCAGCAACTCTCTCCTGCTACTTTTCTCGCAGGTGTCTCTTTGCTGCAGGAGGCAGAGAGGCTGGTAAGGACCATGGCAAGAGAGGTGACGGAGAGTGGGTGGAGAGGCAGGCAGAATGGGTGTGGAAATCACAGTAAATGATACACTGGAAATTGATTTTTTAAAAGCTTTTATTTATTTATCTTTAGAGGGGAAGGGAAGGAGAGAGGGAGAAAAATATCAATGTATGGCTGCCTCTCGTGTGTCCCCTGCTGGGAACTGGTCTGCAACCCCGGTATGCGCCCTGACTGGGAATCAAACCGTGATCCTTTGGTTCACGGGCCCACACTCAATCCACTGAGCTACACCAGCCAGGGCTGGAAATGGATTTTGACTGGCTCCTCTGAATAACTGCTCCCGGTATCTGTGTGCTTTTACTTAATGTTCCTCTGGAAGAATTGATTAGTGTTCAAACAGCCACAAACTCATACACACAAATAGAATTTTAATCTTTTGTATAATCACGATTTAGCATGCCCAGCGCCCTTTGGAAGGCGAGAAGGGAGGTGGTGAAGCAAGCCAGCTGGATTCTGCCCAAGAAGAAAGACCTGTTCAAGTGCATGCTCAGAGGACACTTGCGTCTCTAGCAGGGCTGGCTAGAGTCTTCACAATAACGGGGAAAGAACTGCACCCTCTCAAATGGCAATGCTGAGAGGAAACCTGAGGAGGTCGTTGGTACTATTCAGGGTCTGAGGTCGTCTCAGAGGCCAGATTCTGCTGCCAGTCTCAGGATGGCTTCTGCCAGGCCTGGCTCTCAGCTAGCCCTACAAAGGTGCTGGAATCATTTCATTGGGGGTTTAAATGACTCTGTATAATTCCAAAAGTTTGCTCATCTGCTAAGCAGATTATTCGAATATCTTCCCTACACTCACACACACACAGGCGCATGCATGCTCCCAGCAAAGCGTTCTCTTTAAGGCTGCTTTCAAGGTTATACTTCAAAGCCGGCCAGGTGGGACTTAGCTAGCCAAAGTGAAAGTTACTTTAAACAAAGGAGTTAGGACAGCTGGATAAATGTACTTTTTTCATGAACTCTGAGGACATAAGCTGGATTGTTTTGATGTATTTATTCTTTCATTCCACAAATAAGGATAACTTCATTGATGAACTGAGGACCTACTATGGCCAAAGAATTGTGGGGAGACAAAGGTAAATAAGATAGTCCCTGGTCTCAGCAAAGATTGTGGATAGAATGGGAGTATTAATACATCAGAAAGGGAAAAACACACAGCACTGTAACATGAGCACCTTGAAAGTTGTACGGATAAGCTCTACAGGTATGTAAGAGAGCCAAAGAAATTCTACCCGAAATGGTCAGAAAAGAATTCTTGTAGAAGCAGAGTCCATGAGAGCTGCATGAAAGGAGGGGTGGGATTTTGACTGTTAGCAATGGAAGGGCGAATCCAGCTGGAGGGAACGCACGGCGAAGAAGTGGGGCTTGGAAAGTAAGGGGCATGTTTACTGGACAGTGAGGAGCCCGATCTGGCTGGAGTGAGTGAGGCTCCACATGATCATGAATCTTCCGTAGATTCATGAGCAGCGAGGGCAGGAAATCTGGACCACAATCCAAGGGCCTTACGTCTGAGCTGTCTGGAGGCAGGTGGGAGCCACAGCAGGTGTTTGAACAGGCTGGAGTAGAATTCCAAAAATAAAATGTTGCTACCTATCCACTTGCAAATAACCCCCTCTTCTCAGGAGAGACCCAGGGAGAAAGACAA